TCATTATGTCTTTTGGATTTCAGTTCATATTCTACTTAACTATTCACAGTACACAAAATTTGACCAGTGCCCGCTCATCTGTTTGATCCTGTTAAAGGTGACTATTGTCATTTATGGCAGATTGAGGCTCGTAAGAATTCATGTTGAAATAAGATGTTAACTGTGAGACTGAACAGGACTTACTAGTCTGACCTTAAGGGTGTTTTCACATATAGTCCTTTTTAATGAGCCAAACTCAGTCCTCTGAAAGTGGCCCAACAGAAAATGGACTCAGTTCTTTTTGTGTTCACATTGTCAGGTCATTCGATAGAGGCCTCAGTTCTCTTTCCGTTAACACTACAGCCTATATATGATGTATATTGTCGTAGTTCATATTTTCACTTTGACGTGTCACTGCAGTGCGGTAATGACGCCCCTTGCTTTCACATGAACTTGAAATTGGAGGACAATCTTAGTGTTTCTGTGCTGTAGACTTTTGCTGTCTGATGTATTCTTCATTCAACATCTGGAGACGTGCAGGATCTTCCATGAACCAAACTACTCCTCATCCTGCGTCCTGGTTTCGTCTTCTTTTTTTTCCAAGTGCAACAGCATGTGATCTAGAGAGCTAAACGAAATGGCAAAGAGCAAAGTGAACCTGGACCACTTTGTATTCAGGTTAAGCGAACCGCACCTCGGACTTGAAGTGAACCAAATTCGGACCCAATCTCAAGGTGGTCTGAGTTCAGCTCACTTCAGAGGGGTCTGAGTGCTCTTGGAGTGGAGTCTGTTGACAGTGTTTTCACCGTAACCTGACTCATCATTTTACAAGCAAAACATTTAAGAACATTTGAACCTTTATATTCTGTAGTTATAGAAGTTATTGGCATTCTCTGCGCAAGTGAGCTCAGTTTTCTTCAGAGAATGTTGCTTTCCAAATACGCTGAAGAGCTGAACATAAGGTCTGTCCTCAATAAAGACGTGACATCAGATTATGAAAGCAAAAATATATTGTTTAATTCCATCCTTCAAAAGCACAAAACTTTTTAGAACAATTAGGAAGATTTGCATGTATTAAAATGAACAACAGAGATCATACACTGAACCAGTCTGACCACTGTCAGAGGCACAATGGGACCAGTTGAGTCATTCTACTTTTCCTTCACCAATTTTCAAAGATGTTGAAATTTTTTCACATTTAATTCTTTATTACACTTCACTTCTCTACTGTTCTTGAAATTTCACATACAGACTTTAACTTGAAATGGAGATCTTCACGGTAGCATTAAGTACAGGATGAGTTTTATTTCCTCCACCTCTGCTGGAGGAAAAGACCTACAGAGACTCTCTACAGTGACGTCTCATCAATGGTTTAATACTGAGCGTCTGCTGACACCTGCTGTTCACTCGGTGCATCACATCCTGTCAGAGGAGGAGTGAAGGGGGGGGGGGTTTGCTACTGTCAGTTCAAATTTTACATACAAATAAAAAAGATACAAGGATGCTGTCACAGATTTGAAATGATAAAAACAACCCTTAATGAGTAAATCTACACTGCTGTGAATAAACACTTTAACACAATCACTCCTGAAACTTAACCAACTAATATGTCAGATCTTGACTGAAACCTATGGTATTTAAGTGGACCCTTCTGTGTCAAAGAGACTAATGCTAACAACAGTTTTGAAACTGGTCCACTGTTGAGTGTGAAGGCTGCAGCCGGCTGCGGTGATACAGGCTGCAGTGTAATCACTCAGGTGTTTGCGTACTGTCTTTTTATGTCCACTAAAAAGCAAAACACCAAACCAAATACTTTCAGTATGGTACCTCTGGCATCAAAGGTAAACGCTCAGACATGGTACCTAGATCCTAGATCTGTTTCGCGTTTCCTCCACAGACAGTCCTCTTAAATGTGGGCGGGGTTGTTGTCACTCACTGCTCCGTTTTTTTTTCTCTCCAAGTGAAGGTTAGACTATACGCAGAAGGTACCACAACAGAGGGGGGACCAAACATGGGGACGCTATGGAACGGTTCTATTGGTACCATCCCAACCTTTAACAGTGGGAACAGAAAAAATGTGTACCGAACTGAACTGAACTGGACCATACCTAGTGCTTGGTGGAAATGTGGCTTAAGAGTTTGTTTTTGCCACTAACAGGTCCAGACTGTTAGTCTAAGTGTCCGACAACATTATGGAAAGATTCCCAACAGAGACAGACCTTTTTTTAAAGAGTAAGAAGGTGCATATTTTCACATCTAACTGTGAATTAAGGGTTAATTTCAACCAGACCAAAGTTGGTTATTGTTGGAACAGTGGAAAGACAAACCAAGATGGCTTTAGTGAGTTTATTTTACTGCTGTCAACTTTGAATGAAGTGTGTTTGACGATGATAAACCTGTTATTATTTAAATGGAGTCTGGTGGGTTTGACAGCACTTTCCAGGCTGTTTCTGTTTCTTTTCGTGGATGTAGCCTGTTTTGGCATTGCAGCCCTCACACTAGATACTGGGCCAATTTCAAAAACAGTTCTAGTTAGTCACAAGAAAAACACGTGAAAAAAGAGTCAAGGTTGAAAAATACCAAAGTTACCCTTTAACCAAACTGTTAAACACACTGGCCTCAGAATGCTGAGCAGCTCACATGGTTCACTGAGATTTGTTTTAGTATTCACAGCACAACATTAATGACATATTCGTCTGAAAGATTTGGCTGGTACTGATATTATACTGTATATGAGTAACCTCACCTGCCTAAATGGCATTAATACTTCTTATTTGATGAGTTTTCAGTAATAATAATCATGTTAGCACTTGTGTTAATAATATGAAATGATATCAAACATAAATGCAGATGTTGTCAAAGCAGCAAGACTACATAATTGAACACTGAATGTTATAATATTGACTTTGTTGTGAACATGTAGAATGAAATGACGATTTGTGTTTACTGCCCTCGGGTGGCCACAGTGAGGAACTACACCTAAAAAGCATGGATTAATACTGCTGTTCATAGTGATGTCAGCAGAAATGTTGATCATCTAATAATGTCAGTCTGAATATAGACCCTTTTACTGTTAGTAAACAGTATGACATTTTTTGGTGGGCAGGACTTAGCTGGAGGCAAAACGGTTCTTCACAAGCATTAGCTAGCACTAGCTAGCAAGTTATGTTGGCTTGTTTTGGGCAATGGAGGAAGATGATGGCAGTGGTGCGTTTAGAAATGTACCATTCAGTTATTCAGAGCACCGCACTCTCAGAGCAGCAGAGTGCCGAGCGGAGTGAATGTGTGATGAACATAACCTTTCGCAGCGCTCGACAATGTGAGCTTTTCACTCGCATTTGCGACTAAAAATAGGTGTGTGCGAACTGTAAAAAATATTTAGGGGCACATGTGCGCATAAAAAAATCAGCCAAAGCAGCCTATATTTTTGTCAATAAAAAATATGATAATCTAACCGCAAATGTTGGAGGAACTCCAGCTGCCTTCCCTCTTCCCTCTTCCCCGTGTGACACGGTTATGGGCGGTTTTCCAAGCCACTGTTGGCACAATGAATATAAGTCCCACTGTTGGCAGGGTGGGAATAAGTCAAAGTGTGGCGGAGGAGATGGACCGGGTTAAGCGGCGGACCTACGGGGAAGCCTGCTCTGTTCTCCCCGCAGTGAGGGACCGTTCTCCACGGCCAGGCTGTCGGCTGGGTGGGAATCAGTCAAAGTGTGGCGGAAAAGCTCCGGGGGAAGCCTGCTCCGTTCTCCCTGCAGTTAGGGACCGTTCGCCGTTCGCAGGGTGGAAATAAGTCCTGCAGAGTTTCAGAGGACCTGGAGAATGTTTTAGGATAGTAATAACATTATATACGATAATCATACTGCAAAGATAATATATATAAGATAATAACATTAAAGACAAAATTAAATTGCAATACTTTTTCAAAACTTGATGATTTTACCTTTCTGTACATTTTGTATACAAATTCATTAAATAATTTTGCTTGTAAATGTCTATTTGCATCACGTTTATTACGGAAAACACATTATTTGATCAATTTACATTGTGCCCCTAAAGTTCTTTGTGCGCTTACTTTTTCAACTTAGGAGCACAGGTGCTCCTTGGGAAAAAAGTTAGCATCAAGCCCTGTTTCGTTAATTCATGTAGAAATATGACGCTGCGTTTCTTCCACCAACAGGGCTCTCATTTTAGTGTAGAGTGTCAGACTGAATTTACCAACGCACCATGTCAGGTCACTCACTCTCCGGGACCGCCAGTGTTACTTGAATAAGTAAACACTGACCAACGGGACCAGACTGGCCGACCCGTATGCTCTCACTCAGTGGATGGATGATGTCACAGGAAGCCAATCTTACAAAGGAGGACCACACTTGTTTGTTTTGCTATGGAAGCTAACATTAGCTAATGTGCTAAAAAGTTAGCGTTCCAGAGAAATCCAATCTTCCTCTTAATCCCTCCCCAGTTTCTGATGAGGTGGACATGATAACCCTTAATACACATAATTTTATTCATCCCTACAACAGGAAATATTTTTTCCCTAACCTGATATGAAGTGTGCGCTGCACATGTGAGCATTTTTGATGATGGCCTCCGTCCAGTCCTTTGGTCTTATCACATTTAACCATAGTTGTCTTTGCTTTTGTTGACGGGCAGTGGCGGCTGGTTTTGAGCCATGACTCCTTCTATTCTGGCTCCCAATAACACAAGACAACATTTTAAGACTCCTGTATAGCCTACAGCCCTGTGGGGGAGAGGCAGGTTTTGCCTTCAGCAAATGAAATTGTGACATTGTTTTGACACTTGGCTGATGTGGAATAGTTGGTGCACTGATAAAGACATAATATGACACAATGCAATGTGCGTAGTAAACAAATCATGACCTACAACATGTGACTTCAACATCCACCGAAGAGACGAGAGATGCAGCAAATGACAACACTAGACTGTAACCTTTATATCTGGATTGAGCTGTGACTGGAGCTCTTTTAATGACCTCATCTTGTCTTGTCTTCTTCTGTGGTGGTTTAAAGGCACCTGATTGAAAAATTAGCACCAACTGCTGTTTGTCTCCATCAACCAATGAACTCATTTATATAACGATATTGGATGGGAATGCACATTAATTTGCACTTTCTTTTGCAGATTATTTTAAACTGTGGCTCAGGTTTAGTGACACTGAGGAATGAGGAGAATCTGACCTGAACCCAAACCCAGGATACAGACGTTCAGTGAACGTGGTGTTGAAGGTGTGGAGGTGGATCAGTGTGTCAGAGGAGACTCTGTAGAAGGACAGAGTGCCAGCAGGACAGTCCACATACACTGCTACTCTACCAGAGGCCGAGGAGGAGGAGGAGGAGGAGGAGGAGGAGGAGGTTTGTTTGTTGTTGTGACAGACAAAGTAACCACCATCAATGCAGCTCAGACTCCAGGACTGATCACTCCCTCCAAACAAGCCATCACATTTGTCTCCTCTCCTGCTGATTCCTCTGTAGGTCACTGATACATCCACCACTCCTCTCCACTCCACCTCCCAGTAACAGCGACCAGTCAGACCATCTCTACACAGCAGCTGAGGCCAGTAGTCAAATCTCTCTGGATGATCAAGATATGGCTCAGCCTCTAACACATTAGACACCTTCCTCTTGTCATTAGACACTCTGAGGTTTCTGTTGACTGTGTTTTCGTCGAGGGTGAGCTCACAGGAATCTGATGGAGAGAACAAGACGCAATACAGCTGCACTTATTTATCTATCTATGACACCAGAGATTTTCATGAGTGATGTCACAGGTTTAAGATACGTGAATGTGTGCTGCTTCATGAATCAAATTTAAGACACACTTACACTTCCTCAGACCTGGTTTCAACCACTGGACTCCACTGGGCTCCCACCTGAAAGGAGGAGGGGGGTTAAAGCAGCACATACTCTTTCAGCATGGAAACATGGACAGTACATTGCTCTCATGCACACAGTTCAGTTAGTCTCCAAAATGCACTTATATTCCCCCATCCTCCAGGTGCTCCAGCTTCCTCCCACAGTCCAAAGACACGCAGGTTAACTGGTGACTCTAAATCGTCCGTTGGTGTGAATGTGAGTGTGAATGGTTGTCTGCCTCCATGTGTCAGCCCTGTGATAGTCTGGTGACCTGTCCAGGGTGTACGTTTCAATGAATGAATGAATGAATAATTAGACAAATATAAGTTAAACCACTGGTGCTTTTATTTTGAATTGCCAGCTTGACCCGGAAGTGTTGCTGTTTTTGCTGGGAACTTGAAGCTTCCGGCTTCTGGTCAACATATGTAGTTATCAGTGAGTAGAAAGTTAATCTGTTAACGCGGCAAGATTAAAAGTGAGGATTTATTTATAGTATTTGCAAGTTGCACTGGTGCTCCATGGTCACAAATGCAACTAAATAGTCCGAAGCCCTGCAGATACAAAAACACATGCTTCGTCTGATCACACTAGCGTTAGGCTCAGTAAGTTTAATTTGCTGCAACACCTTCAAACATACTAGTTGTACCCCAAAGTCCCTCCGGAGAAGGAAAGTCACTTCAGCTGCTTGCATCATTCATTCTTTCGGTCACGACCCAAAGCTCATGACAATAGGTAAGAATTGGAAAGCAGACTGATGAATATATTGAAAGCTTTAACGCCCCATTTTAGTCTCTCTCTCATTCATTAAGAAAACCGAAGAAACTTTCAACAACACTATTTGGTGAAAAACAAAGGCTTCTTCATACCTCAGAGTTCTCATGCTCCAGCGTGGATCCTCCCGTACAGCAGACAGCTTCTTCACCCCCAAGTGTCCTGGATGATTGTAACTCAGGTCCAGCTCTATCAGACGGGAGGATGTGGAGCTCAAAGCTGTAGCCAGATAATCACAGCCTTTCTCTGTGATCAGACAGCCGGACAGCCTGCAAACACAAAACAACACACGTCACAGAATTTATTTCCTGCAATAATCCAAAACCCAATGGAAAAATCCCATCGGCTTTCTGACCAGGTAACCAGGATGATGCAAACTTCCACGCTGGCCTACAGAAAAACATCATCCCTGGAGCAATGTATAGCTACAGCTTCCTGTAACCTTAGTCAAAATAATGTTAGAAACTGCTAACACTAAGTGCTGCATTAAAAACAAGTCTAAATTAATGAAAAGTAAAAGAAACAGCCGCCACAGAGAGCTGACTGGCTGAAGAGCTGCAGGTGACAGATTTTTGTGTTGGGACGAACATCAAACCTCAAACACGTCATTGAGGTTAGTGACGCCTTCTCAGATGCTAACAGTCTGATACAGCACAGAAATCCCACAGAGATTGCGCTATAGAGCCACTACTAAGTCCACTGTTCTTCCTCTTTGAGTTAGCCACTAACTGCTACCATCTGCTTTTTGACTCTCCCACGGTGGGTCGCAGGTATAACACGTCATGAAAATGCCACAACCGTCCTGCAGACTGTTCTGTTATACAGGCATTGTTTGGGCGCTGTAACTACCTCCCTTGGCGGCTTAAATGCGAGATCACTCTTTCCACCCATTCCACTATTGTACCTCATAAACTCAACAGTGAAGTGGGATAACAGCGCGATATTCCCATCTTGAACAGGCAGTGCAAAAGAGGCTGATGTGGCACAAAAGGGCTGTACATTGTTAAAATAAAAAGAAGAACTAAAACCTCTCCTACTCCCTCACTCAGTTTCAGTAATCATCCACGGTGTAGGGATGCTTAAACAAAACAAGGATTAATTGGTGGCTAACAACATCACAACTGGAGTGCACTTTTATATCACTATCATCCCAGTTCTGACACTGCTCTGAAATTAGAAAGAATTTGTATGTGTTTCAAAACAAATGTTCACTGAATATCTGGCAACATGTGTTTACATTTGGTCAGTTACACACTTTACTTTGAATCTTAAATCTTTCTATCTGCTATTTTGGGTTCCACCAGCAGAAGGAGAACAAAATCATATAAAAAATGTTCATGTAAAATTATGTTCAGGTTCGAAAACTCACTTACAATAACTGGTTTCACAGTAATTTGAGTAGAGAAAAATAAATGAGTTTATCCATTAATATTAATAATAGTTTAAATGGTCATCAGTTGATGTGGTGGATGAATCCTGACCTGAGAATTTCCAGTGTGCAGTGTCGACTCGCCAGTCCAGTGGACAGCTGCTTCACTCCTGAATCCCACAGGTCGTTGTTACTCAGGTCCAACTCTCTCAGATTGGAGGACTGAGAGCGGAGAACTGGGGACAGAGCTTCACAGCTTCTCTCCGAGAGGTTACAGCTATTCAGCCTAAAGAGACGATAAGAAACAGGAAGACGCGTAAGACGTATGACACATAAAACTTACTTTACATATTTTGAATTGAATTTGATTTAGCCAACAATATATGAAGCAAATGAAACATAGGAACATTGTAGATATTAAGGTTATTCTAAATATGACTGTGCTTGCTCACAGCTACTACTTGATGAAGTGCGAGCAACAGGATGCTGCCTAGAGTTCATTTAACAATCTCAGAGAGAGGTGTCACTAACAACAAGGATTTTACGAAAGTCCCATACAGAAGTTTCTGAACCCTGACCTGAGAGTTTCAAGTGTACAGTGTGGACTCCCCAGTCCAGCAGATAGCAGCTCCACTCCTGTATCCTGCAGGTCGTTGTTACTCAGGTCCAGGTGTCTCAGATTAGAGGACTGAGAGCTGAGGACTGAGGACAGATCTTCACAGCTTTTCTTTGAGAGGTCACAGCCACTCATTCTGAAGAGACAAGGAGGGAAAACAAATTAGTTTTTTTTCCTTCACTTTAGAAGACAGCAGTGCATTAATTATCATTTCAATGCATTTAAGTCTCTTCTTACAGAGCTTTGTTGGAGGTTTTCACAACTGGCAGCAGCCTCAGAAGAGCCTCCTCTGAAGCAGAGTATTTCTTCAGGTCAAACATGTCCAGATCTTCTTCTGATGACTGTAAGATGAAGACCAGAGCTGACCACTGAGCAGGAGACAGTTTATCGGTGCGGAGACTTCCTGATTTCAGGAATTGCTGGATCTCGTTCACCAGAGAACGATCATTCAGTTCATTCAGACAGTGGAACAGATTGATGTATTTCTCTGCAGAGATATTTTCCTCAAACTTCTTCTTGATGTACCGGATTATATCCTGACTGTTCTCCAAGCTACTTCCTGACTGTGTCACAAGGTCTCGTAGGTGCTTCTGATTGGTCTGCAGTGAAAGACCCAAGAGGAAGCGAAGGAACAAGTCGAGGTGTCCATTTGGACTCTGTAAGGCCTTGTCCACAGCACTCTGGTGGAGACATTTCCTTCTATCTATACGGAATTTCGACCATGAGGTTGTTTGTTGTTCTGCCATCAGATTGACTCCAGAGTTGATGAAGGTCAGATGGACATGAAGAGCAGCCAGAAACTCCTGAACTCTCAGATGGATGAAGCAGAACATCTTGTCCTGGTACAGTCCTCTCTCCTCTTTAAAGATCTGTGTGAACACTCCTGAGTACACTGAGGCTGCTCTGATATCAATGCCACACTCTGTCAGGTCTGACTCGTAGAAGATCAGGTTGCCTTTCTGCAGCTGCTCAAAAGCCAGTTTTCCCAGAGACTCAAACATCATCCTGCTGTTTTGACTCCAGTGTGGATCTGTGTCAGATCCTCCATCATACTTGATGTTCTTCAGTTTGGACTGAACCACCATGAAGTGGATGTACATCTCAGTCAGGGTCTTGGGCAGGTCTCCTCTCTTTCTGATTTTAAAAACATCCTCCAGAACTGTAGCAGTGATCCAGCAGAAGACTGGGATGTGGCACATGATGTGGAGGCTTCTGGATGTCTCAATGTGGGAGATGATTTTGCTGGCCTGTTCCTTATTTTTGAATTTCTTCCTGAAGTACTCCTTCTTCTGTGGATCAGTGAACCCTCTGACCTCTGTCACCATGTCAACACACTCAGGAGGGATCTGATTGGCTGCTGCAGGTCGTGTGGTTATCCAGAGGTGAGCAGAGGGAAGCAGTTTCCCCCTGATGAGGTTTACCAGCAGCACATCCACTGAGGTGGACTCTGTAACATCAGTCAGGATTTTAGTGTCGCTGAAGTCCAGAGGAAACCGACACTCATCCAGACCGTCAAGGATGAACACAACCTGGAACTCTTCAAACCTGCAGATTCCTGCTTCTTTGGTTTCAGTGAAGAAGAGATGGACAAGTTCCACCAAGCTGTACTTTTTCTCTTCGAGCACATTCAGCTCTCTGAAGGTGAATGGAAATGTGAACTGTATGTCCTGGTTGGCTTTGTCTTCAGCCCAGTCCAGAGTGAACTTCTGTGTTAAGACAGTTTTCCCAATGCCAGCCACTCCCTTTGTCATCACTGTTCTGATTGGTTCATCTCTTCCAGATGAAGGTTTAAAGATGTCTTGTTGTCTGATTGTTGTTTCAGGTCTAACTGGTTTCATGGATGCTGTTTCAATTTGTCTGATCTCATGTTCCACATTGACCTCTGCAGTCCCTCCCTCTGTGATGTAGAGCTCTGTGTAGATCTGATTCAGAATCGTTGGGTTTCCTGCTTTAGCGATCCCCTCAAACACACACCGGAACTTCTTCTGCAGGTTAGATTTGAGATTGCGTTGGCATATTCCAGAATGACTTCCTAAATAAACACAACAAATAAGATGGGCGAATAAATCATAATGTAAATATGTCAGCATATTTGAATATATTTAGGTCAATCTATCAAGACATTAGTAGACATCCAATTTATCCAAAAATTTGGAGAAATAGTCGTACTGCTCTGCAGACAGTCAGCCAGCTTCTCCTGTTTCATGTTCCTCAGGAAGTTCAGTGTGATCTTCAGAAATGCCTCTCTGCTGCTCCTCCACTGCTCTTCAGCCTTCCCGTCCAGCACCTCATCCTCCCTCTCACTCTCTAAGCGTTTTGAGTAATCTGTACTCAGAACTTTCTGGAACATCTTCAGCTCGTTCTTCACATATGTGACGATGTTCTTCTCCAGCAGCTGGAACAGAATATTACAAGAATGATACAACCACACTAAAATCATGGAACCAAACATCAGATCCACATTGGACAGGCTGACACTCCACTGGTCTAAAAAGTGCAACATGGAGGTGATTTTAAACATTTGTAAAACTAGTTGTTGTACATGAACAGACCGTGAATACAGAGTCCAGGGATGTTTGGTGCTGCTGGGTGGACTGACCACTTGGAACCTCGAAGCTATCCTCGTCCATTCTGTGGAGGAATCATGAAGAATTAGATCGCATTATCTGTCCACATTAGGGATGTCAGTTTGGGTTAATTTTGCATTCAATGGCCCTACACCCATTAACTGGTAACTAACCAGTCAATTCTAAAGAAAACTAGAATTACAGCCCCACCATTGTATGCCTCCATGCACCTGTCAAGTTGCACTTAAGCCCTGTTTCCACCAAGCACTACAGTCTGGTTCAGTTCAGTTCGGTACCCTTTTTTTCCGTTTCCACTGTGAAAAGCTGTGGATAGTACTACTGGAACTGTTCTGTACCGTCCCCATGTTTGGTCCCCCCTCTGTTGGGGTACCTAGCACACAGATCTGGTACTAAAAGGTCAAAAATGGCAGAGTGCAGCATCGTTCTGTGGATGATAAACCAGGTGCAGACTGATCGGGGGCGGCAGTAGCTCAGTCCATAGGGACTTGGGTTGGGAACCGGCGGGTTGCCTGTTCAAGTCCCTGTCCGGACCAAAATATGGAACGTGGACTGGCAGCTTGAGAGGTGCCAGTCCACCTCCTGAGCACTGCCAAGGTGCCCCTGAGCAAGGCACCAAACCCCCCACCCGCTCGGAGCGCCTGTCATGGGCAGCCCACTCTGACATCTCTCCACTCAGTGCATGTATAGGTCCAGTTTGTGCATGGGTACGTCCCAAGTCTCTTAATTATATACTGCTAACTCCTTACTTGAACCGGAAGTTGTTCGAGGTCTACCATCTTTAAGGCCGTGTCATGTCTCTTATTCCTGCCAGTAAGGAGTTAGCGTTAGGAGGGATCTGTTAGGTGCGACGAGTAACGTAACACCAGAGGTTCCTAACAGAAAGTTTTTTTCAGCTTGAGGCCCTGACGTATAAACATCGTATGACATCTATTGCACGTCTGTCCGTCCTGGAAGAGGGGTCCCTCCTCAGTTGCTCTTCCTGAGGTTTCTAAAGATTAGTGTCACCAATTCAATATCTGACCAAATGTATTCACCTTTGACCACCAAAGTCTTATCAGCTCACTGAGTCCAAGTGGACGTTTGCGCCAAATCTGAAGAAATTTCCTCAAAGCCTTCTTCAAATATCACGTTCATGAGAATGGCATAAATGCAAGGTCACATTGACTTTCAACTACCAAAAATCTAATCAATTCATTGTTGCGTCTAAGTGGACATTTGCGCCAAATCTTAAAGAAATTCCCTCAAGGTGGTTTCGAGATATGGCATTCAAGAGAATGGAATGGACGTACATATGTACGGACAACCCCAAAACATAACACCTCAGCCACAGCTATCGCCAGCGCGGAGGCATAAAAATGCAAAATAACATTAAATACACGCGACCTTTCATGTTAGTCCAGAGCTCCATTAACTCAGTAAGTTTAAGCTCTACGTTTCAAAGTGCTATCCATTTAGACTGCGTAATAATATCATCTTAATACTGACAGAAACTTACTGGCACTTAAAATTAGTAATAAAATCCACTGACCAGTCACAAATTCAGTTAAACTTGGTTAAAATAAAGCATAATTACAATGTTATAATACAACAATATAACTTTTGTCACATAAATACCTTGGTTTTAAATTATGAATGATTTCCCTTGACCGGTCACTGTTACAGGACACTAAGCTGGGTTCACGATCAGGAGGTTCTTGTCTCAGATGGTTCCTGAAACAAAAAAAGTGATAATAATTAAGAATTTTGAATAAACGCCTTCCTGGAAAAAATACTAGGGCTGTACCCAAATATTTGGATATTCGAATATTCGTTTCTATGGGTAGGTATTCGTTTGGTATTTGACATTTGTTTTTTTATTTACTTTTTTTTTTTAACATATTTTTTGGTGCTAAATGTAGTCTTTTTGTTGTTGGTAAATGTAGGTTATCAATAAAAATCAAAATGTTTAAATTGCATTGTAAAAATGTGAAAATACAGTATAGCCTACCAACTGAGCTTGTGCGCACGGCACGTTTGAGCGCATCCGTCTGAGGCTGTGGATCAATGCCAAGTTTTACCACTTTATCACTATTCCCTCTACCTTGTAGCTGTTTTTTGTTATCTTTTGAATTTAATATGAATTATGGAACCATTTTTGTCAACGTTTGTTTCCCCTGTTTTGTACAATAAATGATTGTTTAAAGTTTCAACAAGTTTCTTTTGGAGTGCGTGACACAAGTGTGTTTTGAAAACAACTGCGGACTGTCACCTGCTCAACGCATCAGTACCTTCGGATGCCATGACAGTAATAGCCAATGATGTCAAAATATCATTTACAGACCGATTTAACAGACGATCACTGCTGCCCGACCCGCAGGTCCATTTGCAGGTACCGTGGGTTACGGGTCGACCCGCGCATCACTACTCAGCTCAGTCTATAAAGGCTGTATACACAGCAGTAAGGCTATAGACATTATATTCTATTCAGGCCGGCAGAACCAGCAGCACATCGGCTCTACAGTGCACGGCACTGCTGATTAACCATTTTATTGCAGCACATAGTGTCTGCCAGCAACCGATTACTTGCAGAGGCTTCCTACAACTTGTTTCAACGGTTCCTATTTAATCAGAAGACAAATTAAACAGGATGACTAGCCAATGTGAAAATCAAAAGAAAGCATAGAATAATGTACTGAAGGAGACTGTTGTGCCATCACATTTTTTTGCAAAGATCCCCCCCCACCCCTCTGTTGGTTCCTAAACACCACTGATAAAGGTCACATGTTCAGTTAAACTCTCTGTGGTTAACATACTGCACACTTGCAAAGCTTTAATACAACAACATACTTCTTGTCAGATAAATACCTTTGTTTAAAATCAAGAATGTAATCCCTTGACCGGTCACTCTTACAGGACACCAAGCTGGGTTCAGGTTCAGGAGGTCTCTGATGGTTCCTGAAACAAAAAAAAAAAAACAATATTAAATGAGAATTTTGAATAAACGCCTTCCTGGACAAAATACAGATGTAAAATATGAAAAATGTTTTCCAAACACAAATTGAACACTTCTATCTATACACTGAAATTGATAATGCACAGTAGGCTACAGCAGGATCCAGATGTGACCATCAATGGCGACCTCCTATAATGTAGCGTATAATGACATGACAACACACAACAACCTTTGGGGGATGTTATTTTTCTGGTGGCACACTGGCAGAAGTGGAGCAGTGTGGATCAGTGTGAATGAATGAAAAATGAAAACAATAAACAATGTATTTCAGATGGTAACATGTTACGTGACACTGTTTATGTAATAATATTATATTTTGTTACTGCTTTAAATTACTTTGTTACTGCTATAAAGTTACATATTACTGTAACGCTTTACTTTTGTGACACATTACTCCCAACACTGGTCTCCGATGGTTCCTAAACAGCTTTGAAGATTTAATGAATCTGTGGTTAATATACTGCATACTTGCACAGCTTTAATACAACAACATATTTCTTGTCAGATAAATACCTTTGTTTAAAATCAAGAATGTAATCCCTTGAACGGTCACTCTTACAGGACACCAAGCTGGGTTCAGGGTTAGGAGGTCTCAGATGGTTCCTGAAACAAAAACAGCGATAATAAATGAGAATTTTGAATAAACGCCTTCCTGGACAAAATACAGATGTAGAATGTTTTCCAAACACAAATTGTGCACTTTATTAGGTATCCAGTTCAAAGCTGTTTCAACTCAATGCAACAGCTCTGCCATAAATTCCACCTTTACAAAGATAATAATGTGATGTTTTTGTTGACATTGTCAGAAATGTGTGAATTCACTTCCATGTTTATTACTGAAGTCAGTGTTAAAGGGGACGATGATGCTTTTCTGTATGTAGTGTCTTATTGACAGTGTTACAGTGAAGAATGTTCATATTAAACACAGCCAAAGTTTCAAATAATAATAAGTAAAGTGAAGTCACCTAAAGCATAAAACATTTAAACATATAAGTGAATAAATTCCTCTATGACAGTGTCAACAAAAGGTGACTATTACAGGCATCATGAAAGTGACTTTATGTCTAAACAGCTGGAGATCCTCATCTCACCCCTGAGCTTTGGTCTGGCTGTCAAGTTTCCCACAGAGAATGGTTTCAGAAGAAGGGACTCCCTCCTCTGGTTCCTCACGCAGATCCATAGCAGAGCTCACACCTTCACACAGACACCACAACCTGCTGGGAGAGCTCACACATTATTTCTTATCATTCCTCTCCTTCACATGACAAGCACAAACAGCTCTGACTGGGGGAAACCTTTCAGGCTTTGTGACAGCTCAACGTTCGACTCTAAATACACTTGATACTAAATACACTCATGTGACAGTTTCCATGGCTGAACAAATATGTTGTTGGCACTTTGAGCTGCAGTGTCATATCTAAGAAACGACACTCACAATGTCCTTTAGTCTATAGGATTACATGTTGCTCTTTCTTTGCCTTTCTTTGGGGATGACATCACATTTCACTTCTGTCTGACTGACTTTAAAAGCTCTTCAGCATTTGAAATGTCTCTGTTTTTCCACATCTACTGTATCCAGCCAGAGCATGCATGGCAGCGAGTCCAATAATCCAAAATCAATCGTGTTACCTTGGCAGCTGCTGCTGAATTCACATCCACATCACCTCCCCGAGACTTCCTGGTTTCACCTGTAGAGGACACAGTGAGAGGGTCAGTCCAATCACTGATAAGCAAATCATCACTCATTCATCCTTCACATCGTCTCATGGAAAATGTCCTGATTATCACTGACAGAGTCATTCTCCAGTCGTGCTACATCCTCCACTAATGTCTCCTTGGAATGAGGCTCTTAGTGGATCTGTCGCCCTCCAGTGGTAAAAAGGGAAACTTTCTAATAGTCATCAAAAAGTTTGTTTTTCTTTGTCCATCGTTCAAGATAATACGGGTATCATTTTTAATATGATAGACAGTCCTTATCCTGGAGCCCACGGGGGAAAAGAAAGCCAGGAAGACCAAAGAACACCTGGAGAAGGTCTGTCGAGGCGGAACTCAAGGAATCAAGAACATCCTGGAGGGAAGCAGAGAAGATCACCCAACACCGAACCAGCTGGAGAAAGTTCGTGAACGACCTATGCTCCCCAAGGAGCAAAGGTCACTTATTTCATCGCAATTTCAGGGCCATATCACCCACCCCTGCCCAGTCCTAAGAAATACAAAGCTCTAAGTATGTAACTTCTTCCTTTTACAGGAATATTTCTAATAGTGTGCACAGCTAAGATTTAACTTCTCTTTATAGTCAAGCACAAACCAGGAGCCTTAGATGAGTCATTGACTGTATGAAGGGCAACAGGCATCTGACTCAACTTTTAAGAGAACTGTCGCATCATCCACCAGCTGACGGATAATAATATTCCTGCCAGCTATAGAAGCTATAGAAATACCTTGTACAGCACTATTATTAATAGTTGTGAGAATTTGAGTACAGTGTAAAAACAGGTACGGTGAAATTGGACATCCCTGACGAATATCACGTTTCAAATCAAACCTAGGAGTTATAGCATGTTTCATTTTGAGCTATGTCCGTTAGCATGTCAACAAGTGCTATGTGAGAAACGTCATCTACAGGCAATGTCATGCCTGAGCCTATCAGAGACAGAGTAAGGCAGGTCATGCCGTAGCTATTAAGCTTGTTTTAGATCAACTGGCCTCTACTGGAAAGTGGACGAGATCAGGCGGCTGCAGCAGGAGGCGGTGACAAAATGCTGCAGTCATGCCTGGCAGTTTCCTGTGGCCTTCAGTCTGTACAGGAAGTCACAGAAACACTCACATCCTGTTAGATCTGATACCATCCATCCATTTTCATAACCGCTTATCCTCTTAAAGGTCGCGGGGGGCTGGAGCCTTTCCCAGCTGACACTGGGCGAGAGGCAGGGTTCATCCTGGACAGGTCACCACATAGACACATAGAGACAGACAACCATTCACACTCACATTCACACCTACGGACAATTTAGAATCACCAATTAACCTGCATGTCTTTGGACTGTGGGAGGAAGCTGGAGCACCTGGAGGAAACCCACGCTGACACAGGGAGAACATGCAAACTGCACACAGATTGTTGTAGCCCTCCAACAGCATACGGCGTTCTTGTCTGCCTCTCGAAATCACCATGACCACGAGGGATAGCATGCACCTTATCTGCACAATCAGTAACGCGTACATTATGTACGAGATGAACAAAGCTGTACGATTATCCATCTTGATGTTGTTCAAAAATGCCGGTCTGCCGCCTGACCATAGCTCGATTAAGCTGTGCATGTAAACATACTGAGTGTTAACCACCACACCACTGTCCCGCCTAGATCTGATTCTGATTTATTAGAATCTTCTTAGACCCCATATCCCCATATCAGGGCTAGCCGCACCTTTCCCATGTGAACTACCAGTGCGCCCGACTTTTAAGTCAATACAACATATAAACACTTTAACTATCTGCCTTTCAACGTGCTACCTCAACTACTAATGTACAGTTTTAGCCCACTAACTATCACACTATTGGCAATGGTACTAATGTACTTTCAATAAAGCAATCGTACTATCAAATTCACAAACACTCTGTCTGAATACATTGCTCTTCTTAATGGGTTCAGTTGACTATTTAATCTGCAGTTTCCTATGACCTGTATCCCAAACACACACCATGTGAAACTGTACGTGGGCAACTGTGCACTCAATGGGTATGGACTAGTTTACACATTAATAAGAAAAAAAACACATAACGTCACGTTCATATTGCAATGAATTATGGGTTGTTAAATCAGTGAAGTCTGCACAGTCTGCTGGAGGCCTGGATGAATTGTGGATCTTGAGCCCTCAGCACTCTCACACTTATCTGGATCTCGTGCACTTTCCAGGCGCGGCACAGCTCATCTCAAACCAGCCTACATGTTATACAGTTATATTCGTTTACGTCACCACGGCCACATAGCTCATATACACACATACAGATCAGGGCAATGTGTGAAATATTTAGGGATTCACATTACAAAAAACCTCACCCAGAGACAGCAATTAAACCTTCCTCTAAAATCAAAAAGGTGAAATCCATCTTTAATATGTGGTTGCAAAGGGACCTTTCCATTTTTGGAAGAGTGTTATTGTGAAAAGCTGAAGGTGTGTCAAGGTTTGTTTATCCCGCTTTATCACTTTTTGCAAATGATTCACTCTGTAAAGATATCAATAGTTTGTTTGTACATTTTATTTGGAAAAACAAACACCACCATCTCAAAAAAGACATCCTTAGTTTAGAGAGAGCAGAAGGTGGGTTGGAACTTCTGAATTTTTTTCATTTAAATTCCACTTTTAAAATCAAATGGCGTAAGAAATGTTTGGAGCAACCGACGTCACTGTGGTATTTTATTTCACACAATTTATTTAAAAAGGTAGGTGGCTTAAAATTTTTACTAAGTTGCAATTTTACTGTCGCTAAATTACCATTTATCAGCAAGTCTTATTGGCATGGAAATTGTGTTATGTGCATACCTTCTCTCCTCATAAGGAAATAAGACGGTCATCTACCGCTCTGAGCTAATTGGCAAGTAGCAACTCAACAGTGGCTTCACAAATTGAGTAAGCCATTCACTGTTGTGTAGGAAAGCAGCCATCCGTGCATGGAAAGGCAGGTTTCAAACCACTGTAAAAAATTCAGTTATTAAGACAAAAATCTGAAAATACACATATTGCATCTAGACAGCATGGAGATGTTGGTAATTTGTTTGTAACAATGATTGATTTGCTCTGTAAGTGGAAAACTGATGTTTAAAATTGCCATTTTTACATTGACTCCAATTGTTCACATTAGAGCAAAATTCAAAATGCTGTCAAAAATTCAGTTTTTGAGATAATTTTGTCATTTTTTTCATGAACATTGAAGATTTATTTAGCAAGAATTTGCATGTATATGTT